ATGTTGATGTGTAAACCGATAGTTGGACATGTTTTTTAAGGATATCCATCGTTCCAGCGTTAATGCATCCTGTCTGCTTCAAGTACCTTTTATGACAATCATCTCCATGTGCACGTGTAAAAATACGCTTATTTATCGATGGGCACATTATTTTATTCAAATTCACTTAAAGGTTTTATTTCAGTAGGGTGATATCCGCAGTGACCGTCACAGCACGTTTCCCTTTATTACACTAAATGTTCTATTGAAATACGTTCACTGAGGCAAACAACACAGGTTAGGTTAAGGTAATGGCAAAAAGTAAATGCACCAAAATTGTGGAACAAACAGCCTTTACATATAAGATCTGAAAGTAATTATGTCAGCTTTAGACTCATCTTTTAAAAATTTTTATGATAAATGTCCTTAAACTTTAAAGCAAGTCCTATTTTAGTGCTGTAATTTCTATATTTGGATTGTAAAGTGCATTGAAATGTATGAAATTAGAATGCAAGAAATAAATATTATTATAATTGTTGTTGTGAATAAATTTGATTAGTATTGATTATTATTATTAGATTGCTTTATCTATCTGTCGAAATTGAATATATTGACCCAACAACTTCAGTGAATTAAACCCACCCGACTAATACTTGAACGATGGATCCAAGCGCCACTTGAAGTGATTTGTCGACTGAATATATCGGTATGTGGGCTAATTAGGTACGAGTGCGAGAATTCCTGAGGACGTAAAAGTATTGGGCGAGACCTGCATATCGGGCCGTGTATATATCGAGACGTCTTCCTTTAAATTTGCCAAACACAATCAGGGGCGGATCCAGAGATATTCCAAATTATCTTTGTTGATCCATCTGCCATTTCTGACCGTCTTCCAACAGAAAACATTAGGTGGCTGACAGTGTAAACTTGAAAATCCGACCGTCTTCCAGAAGACCCAGAAGACGGCCTAAATCCGCCCCTGACAATAAATGAAAATAATTCGTCGTCTACCCCGGTTACTATACGTCTCGTAATTGACAGGCATCAATCAAATTCGTACCGTTTCCTTCAATTTTGATGGGGGCTGCCAGGTGCACACCACTTTGACTGACAGTTTTTATAAACAAACGTCAATCAAAATCATCACGCAGTTGATAACTATAGCCGTCGAACAGGTAAAACTCAAGCTTCCTACATCCTTTGATTGACAGCGTATCAATCAAATCCATTTAGTTTTGACAGGAGCTGTCAAGTGATAACAGCTTGATTGACGGGTTATATAAACAAACGTCAATCGTCACGCTTACGATCACTTTAGCAGTAAAACACCGAGTACGAAAGAGATCACGCTATCTCCAGAATTTAGTAGTCATTATATTAGACAATTTGTCTAAAATCTACTGATGTTTTAGATCTCTGTTATTAAAACATCTAATTTGTTTTCACATCGGCTGACAATTCGGTTCTGGTCGAGATGAATAGTTTGTTTAGGTTTTGTTTGAACTTTTACCGGACTGAGTATTTGACATGAACGTGGGATAATATGAATCTATAGAAAGCAATAAATAAACATATAGATAAATAAATAAATAAATATTTAAAAAATGATAAAAAAAATAAAATACTGTGAACAACTCTTGGGAGATTTTCATGTTCGTCATAACTTCGCTTTCGTAAATGTTGTTTTTTAGTTTGTTTTACTATAGTAAAGCGTGGATAGAATAGTATAAAGCTCCCGCGCAATGCCATTGTTTTTGCAGCTCAGCTGCTGGGATTAACTTAAGGACTGAGCAGGGTACGCTATCAAAGAGTAGCTTCAAGTAGATTGATATAGTTATGTACTATTCAGCAAGAGCTAACGTCATTTCCCACTCTCTCCTATGCTGAGTTTCTTCGTCTACTGCGTGCTGATGTCGGCTCTTAGGTCCATCTTTCCAGGCTATTGTAAAAGGATTATGACGCGCAAATATTTTATCAAAATAAGTCCCTTGTCTCTTATCACTGCCTAAAACCACCAAGTACAGGTGAACGTGGACTAAAAAATTGTTTAAACAATTGAAACATGCAGATGCAGAGTCGAGGTAAAATGTAGCAAATTTATCTCATTGGAGGTTTTTAATTTTTTTAATTCATCCTTCTAACTAGAAAGATGTAAATTACAAATCTTTTTACTCTGTTTTTGCCTATTACTCTTTCCTTTCCTTATATACATATGCTGTCTTTTTCCCGTACCATTTCTTAGCTGTGGGTGGAAAATTCCGTGTTTACTTGGCGTCGCTCGACCGTCGGTTGCCCGCTGGCCTACGACTGAGGAGCTTTGAAAAGAAAACTCTTAAACGGTAGAAAACTCGGCTAGGGCGGCATTGAAGAGCACAGCTAGCTGCGTGAATTGATGTTAACAATGAACAATATCTTGAATGCATATACAATCAATTTGTTATATGCATTTAGATCTAACTTATTGATAGCTTATATACATTGATTCATGAAGTATCTTTAAAATAAACAAAATGTGTATCACTTAACCATTAGGTGTATTATTTACATGTAACTCACTTTTATATTTAACTTTAGATTTTTCGATATTATGGGGTGTCTTTTAAAATAACTATGTAATTTATAACTGTACATGTAGACCAAATTATGTTAGAGAGTTTTACTTAAATAAAGGCGTTTTATTTTAATACCGACCGTTTGATCCGAACACTGGCGTACTCAGGACGTGGCTAAGGGAGGGAGGGGTTGGGTGGGGTGTAAGGGGGGGGGCGAGGGAAAACAATATAGCACTGCTTTCCTTGGCATACTTTGTCATGAAAATTTGACTGGGAGCCGAAAAAGAAAGGACACGCTCTGCGTCTGTCATTTCACTGAGGTATGCGTTCATTTCTGTTTAGGGGTGGGGGGATTATGAAGCTAAGGGAGAGTTGCCGTGACGGTTGCAACACCTGCTGGTTCGTCCACTAAGCACAGGGGCGGATCCAGGATTATTTGAAGGGGGAGTCCCCCCCTGTTGGCCTGGGGTTTAGTGGCCCTTCCACGGATCCCGAAAATTTTTGCCCCCACCCCCTTTAAATTCGCCACTGTAAGCAACCTGTATTAAGATGTATACTGTGTATGCAAGGCCTTCAAAGTTGAGTTGACGTATGTATTGCTTTTAATTTTCATATATATTGAATCTCACGTATTAATTTGTGTCAGTGCAGGGTTTTCAAAAGGGAAAGAGAGCATAATGAAGATCCCAAGCAGCCATTGTAGTTTCTGTTTTACTGCACTGTAAAAAGAAGTATAACGATACGTTAGTGCATAGTGTATTACATTAAGTACACACGTACGGGTGGCGTGCCATTTTTCCGACGTAGTGGTCTTTAGAGCAGGCCGGGGGAAATTGGGCTTTCGTTTAGAAAATGATCACACGGCGGGAGCCTTTTCAGTGTCAGTGCAGTTGTCGTACACCCTCCGTGCGGCTTATCTGAAGATTGATAAGTCGTCGGCGCAGACTCTGAACGTTTTTTGTGTCCTACCTGGTAACAGTTGGGACACACAAATTTAATACGAGTCAATAGCATTAAGTTTTAATTATATTCACTGTTGTGATTCCAAAACAAACAAACAAAAAAATAAATAAATAAATAAATAAAAACACTGATTGGGGAGGGGTGTGAACAACAACTTCAACCATCACAATGATCTCCGTAAGTCCACCGACCAAGTCCATCTTTTCAATGCCATCTACACTATATTGCTACACTTAATTGCTACGGCCTACGACGCTCAAAAAGAGGGCAGCAGAGAAACGACATTAAGTTCATACAAAAATTCTAGCGACAGTAGAATAAAAATAATGAAAAATAGCCAATTTTGTGCCCCAGGTATATATAGGGCACCATACGGACAACGCATGGCATTTGTGACCTATTTGTAACCTAGTTTTACGGAAGCGATTAGAAATATAAGTACAGTAACGCGAAAATATTTCTCATCTTATGACAGTGGGTTTATTATGAGTATTAACATAGATAAAATCAGTATTGTATGTGATAAGTAGTTTGTGTTTTGTCAGCCAATTAACACCATCCTCCGGCAAAAATAAATTCAAATGTCACCACATTATTAATGCACTCATATTCTTAAATATATCGCCTTGACACCGAAAGAAGTACAGGGCGAAGAGAGCAGCAGTAAAACTGAGTTTGGGGCTAATTGAACTGATTTTTTTGCGATGAATAAGCAGAGGGTTGATATACTGATGCGTTCCCCAATCCAGAGGATATTGTGTCAAATTATAAAATGTGACTTTGATTTTTTTGCTATGCTCAATTTACTCGTTGGTTGTACAATCAATTTATCGAAAAAATCCTCTAGAATTAAAAAGCACTGGTTTCACATTTTAAATCATTCATTAGAGTGAAACTGTTATGATAAGGGAGTATATCATCTAAAAACAATTTACAAGCGTTGCCTACAACGATCGCGTCCAGGGCTAGGACTTGAAAAAAGGAAACACCCTTCAAACTCAACAAACCGCGAATCAATTAGACCTGTATAGCTGATGCAGACGATTGTTATTCTAAAGATTTCCCGAGTACAGGTACGGTTCACCTCCTGGTCTAATACTTCTATACAGTGCTGCCCACTTGATCGTGCTGTGGCTAACCAGGAAGTGGTAAAAAGACTCGCTGGTATGTGAGTAACAACCGTGCCACAATGACCTTTTTCACTTAATTATGTAATAATCCACCAGTCAAAGCTGCAGGCAGTGCGCCCCTCCCTAAATCACCTGCAGAAACTATTAAGAAAAGGGAGAAGGAAGGTTAAGGGGCCATGGTAGTTCCCGGATGTAAGGATACCAATATGATTTACAAAAACCAGTGTTTTCAGTGATTGGTATCACACTACCACTGCAATTGTTACACGGACACATCCGAGTCAGCTAGGATACAACGGGAGAATATACAAACATACCGGTAGCAGTTACCAAATTTTTTCTTTCTTGATTTTTAAAAATCATATTTGATTATATATCAGGATGGAACCAGTCCGAGTAGTCTCTCGCAGACTGCCACAAAAACACATGTTTATCGTCTTGTACTGTCTGTTGGGTGCGCAGATACTCCTCACTGGGCTGTACTTATTGCGACCTGGTGGTGTTCAGCTACAGAAAAAACTGCTTGATATCCGGAAGAACTCCCCATCCCGCGGTGGATTCGATAACGATCCCGACAAAAGCATAAAGACTCAGCCAACGGTGGTGGAAGACTGTGCAGAACATCCCAGTACGCTAGGTGAGAGATGGAAGTAATACAAGATAGGAAGCCTGAGTGTCTTTGTGGAGGGGTGAAAGAAGAAAGTTGTAGAATGCATATGAATAGGCGCTTGTGTGTGTGTGTGTGTGTGTGTGTGTGTGAGAGAGAGAGAAAGAGAGATAGAGAGCTGTGACACGGTCTTGGCCGATGACCTTACAAAAATTGCTTCTGAAAACATTTGTGACTACAAAGACACTACAACAACAGGAAAGTTCTCGAGATAAGAGATTAGACGTTAGAGATCAGAGGTCTCATAGCTAATTGAAGTACTAGTCAGTCCATATTCCAAGACCTCACATTGCCTTATACATTATATCTGAGTACCTGCGTCATTATAGGCCTACTTACCTTACATGTACATCCTTCTATCTGCCCATTTGATCTCAGTCGTAAAGCAGTCATTCTAAGTTGTCTTATTTCTAAAAGAACTACATACATTTCTCAAAACGCTACTTTGAAAATTAGCATTTCTCTCGCAGGCTTCCAAAAGTCAAAATAAATTTTCGGAAAGTTTTTGTTACTTCGTGCACATTGTAAACTTGCAGTCTGTTTTTGAAGTGTTGCATGTTCTATCCACTTTGTAAACAGGCCTATCATCGCCAAAATATAAAATGTTTGTGAGAAAGGAGCAATATGTCTAAATGCAGTCTTATGAACTTTTTTCCATAGAGAAAATGGCAATGACAATGTTGGCTGTTTATCCCTTTATCCTTTTATATATTCATTTACTAGAGGATCAGAGAGGCAATACCGTCTCCGGGTATAGTACCACCAGCTGGAGTAAGCTCTTTCGTATGGAAAATAAAAAAGAGACACCACCTCCAATGTTGTGCTTGACAAGCTCTACAAAATGCATGAAAACAATAGTTATCAATATTTTTATTGAAAATACAATTTATAATAAAATCATGGGGAAAATTGGAAGTTCATTCCAAATTTGTTAAGTGCGGTTCATGGCGAAAAGTAGGTCTATTTAAAACTTCACAGATTGCCCGTATATGACGTCCTATTAAAGTTCAATAGTAACTATGGGCATATCCCTGCCAGTTTTGGAGATATGAGGAACGGAAAAGTTGCAAAGTTCAGTTCATGATGAAAAGTAGTTCAAAGGTCCATTTCAAGGTCACAGATTACCCGTATATAATTTCCTATTAAAGCTCAGTAGTAACTATGGGCATATCTCTGCCAGTTTTCGAGATATAAGGGATAGAAAAGTTGCAAAGTACAGTACATGGTAAAAAGAAGGCCAAAGGGCAATATCAAGGTCACAGTAAGATAGCCAGCATAGGACTTCCTATTCAACTTCAATAGTAACTATGTAGGTATCTCCGCCAGTTTTGGAGATATAAGGGACGGAAATTTTGCAAAGTTCAGTTCATACATGTAGTGAAAAGTAGGTTAATGGTCAATTTCAAGGTCTCAGATTGCCAATGTATAACTTTCTTCTTAAGTTGAATAGTAATCTCTGCCTGTTTTGAAGATATAAGGGACGAAATAGTTGCTCAATTCAGTTCAAAGTGAAAAGTAAGTCAAAGGTTAATTTTAAGGTCATGGCACAGTTAGATTGCCAGTATATGATTTCCTATTCAAGTTCAATAGGGCATATCTCTGCCAGTTTTGGAGATGTATGGATAGAAATGTTGCAAAGTTTAGTTCATGGTGAAAAATATAGGCCAATGGTCAATTTAAAGGTCACAGTTAGATTTCCATTATATGAATTCCTATTCAAGTTGAATAGTAACTATGGGCCTATCTTTGCCAGATTTGGAGATATAAAGGACTTAAATGTTTCAAAGTTCAGTTCATGGTGAAAAGTAGGTCAAAGGTCAATTTCAAGGTCACAGTTAGATAGCCAGTATATGACTTTCTATTCAAGTTTAATAAGTCACAATGGGTCTATCTCTGCCAGTTTTGAAAGAACGAAAGGATCATTTTGGTTGAAATTCATGAAATGGGAGGTGCTCAGATATTCCAAATGTTCGAATTTCATGAAATTATGTCATTTTGGACCGGAAGTTGTCAGCCCCTCGCTCAGCCTTATGTTATCTTATCCCAACGTTCAAAATTGCAAGGCATATTACCGTAGTTCACATTTTATTTTCACCACCATGTTGTACTTTTTTGAAAAGGCACCGATTGACCCCAAACTCAAGGATATGGATAACACCTGCCCATAGTATTATAGGTTACGTCTGTGTAGTTCTGAAAATCGGCACAAATAATTTTTTGACAAAAGATTCCCATTTTTAGAAAATTTTGGTCCCTTTCACCTTGAAATAAAGGTCAAAGGTCAAGTCCAATGGCATTCGGTCAGCTATCTATATAATAATTCCCATAATTCCTTCGGTTTGGGAGATATTTAGCCTTTAATTTTACCAATTTTGGACAAGGGTGCATTACGACGAGCGCCACACCTAGACCCAAGCACCGACAAAGCCCAAAATAAAAATGGATCGAGTTGAGATTATATGTGACCTACATACAACAGATGGATGCAGGAGCTCTTGCAGTTTAGGAGAAGAAGCGGTAACTGTGAAGTGGCGGTGGACAACACCGGTCGGGACTAAAACCATATGTACCGTCAGCTCTGCGCTGGTGGTACACTAAATGAAGCCATTTTGGAAATAGAAAAATATAACTTGTAAAATTATTTATAAAATTAAAATTCTTAATTTTATCAATTCAAATTAATCAATGTATTATAACACATATATTTATTCAGAATGATGTAAAACAAGTTTTTATAATGGCCTGAGACAAGTCGTTGTTTAAAGCCATTCGGAAACCAGGCGATAAACGTTCTGGATACGTTCGTATAGCACTTAATACAAATGATATTTTCCCTTTTATAACAGTGGGTCGCATCCGTATTGACCTCAACGTGACAACAGATCTAAATGAACAGAAGAAAGCAATGCCAGAGGTCGACTGGGGGGAGTGGAAGCCTTCTAAATGTAAATCCAGGTAGGTGAATGCTTGTCATTTCTACAGGTCTTAATTAATACGGCTATCTTTTACAGTTGACAAATGCCGGTAACGTGACAGAGAGTCCCCCATGATAGAAAGTCCGCTTCCCCTTCATTTGCACAGGTAAGCCTCGCCCTAGATTTTCACCTACTTAGATCAGGCTAACCCTAACCATTATAACTAAATGGAGGACTTTCTGTTGCACGGACCCTCAGTTTCGTTACACCGGATCTGAGTTGTCAAGTTTATACTGTGAATATCTACAGATATAACAGAGTTTTTGTGAAAAACAGAAAAAAAGTGACATGCGTATCGTGGTTTACATTGGACGCCTGGACCCGTAACTCGAAAGCATCGCGCATTGTGATCGAGGGCAAACGTCTCGATTCCATAACTCGCCCATACACGCCCCATACGGGGTTACGGAATCGAGACTCTTGTGCTCGGTCGCAATGCGCGATGCTTTCAAGCTACGGGCCCTGGTCATTTTTTTTGACAGACTGGGTGTTGACGCTCTCGACTCCCTGGCACCTGAGGTGGAAACTGTGACCACATGGCCATCCGATCGTAGAGTCTTTGTAGGATATAGACTAGAAAGACATACATTACGCTTTGACCCACCATCTACTGAACTGAAACACTTGATACACCAGACTGCAGATAAAGACTATAGTTATAAAACAATGTTTAGTTAACATATGCTGGTATACCTTTTATCATTACTGANAAAAATTGCTTCTGAAAACATCTGTGACATCAAAGACACTACGGTACAACAACAGGAAAGATCTCGAGCTAAGAGGTCAGAGGTTAGCGGCCAATGGTCTCATAGCTCATTGAAGTACTAGTTAGTCCATATCCTAAGATCTCACATTGCCTTTTTATGTACAGACACAGATGTGTCTGTACATTTAGCCGTCACCTGCGTCTGTCGTCGCCGTCGTCGTCGCCGTGCACTTTCACCGATAACACGATAAGTGAAAAACCGTTTTACCTTTTGACTTGAAACTTACAAAAATGATGAATATTCATAAGATACAGGTTAAGTTCGAAAATCAGCATGATTGGGCCATTTTTATGGAAGTTATGCTATTTTTTTAATTTTTTTTAGCATATGTGCAACACCGATAACACGATAAGTGAAATACCGTTTTACCTTTTGGCTTAAAACTTGCAGAACTGATGAATATTCATAATACGCAGTTCAACTTCGAAAATCAGCATGATTGGGCCATTTTTATGGAAGGTATGCTGTTTTTTCACTTTTTTTCAGCATATGTGCAACACCGATAACACGATAAGTGAAATACCGTTTTACCTTTTGGCTTGAAATTTACAGAACTGATGAATATTCATAATACGCAGGTCAAGTTCGAAAAGCAGCGTGATCGGACCAATTTTATGAAAGATATGCAGTTTTTTTTACTTTTTTCAGCATATACATTGGCCAATTGTCTTGAAATTCACAGGGGTGATCAGTCTTACTAAAATACAGATTAAGTTCGAAAATAAGCTCAATCGGTTCAGTTTTGGTGAAGTTATGCCTTTTTTTGTAAATAAGTGTTTTTTCCTCAGAATTAATTCTTAGGCATGTTAACAATCTCATTCGTGAACAAATTAAATATGTAAAGGTGTTCTCTCGACATCTTCTGCATCTTAACAATATTGTTACTTGATTATATGAAAATGATGGTAAACCTGTTATTGTGTATTGTGCAATAAAGTGTCAAAATGGAAATAAACTGATATCTTTACGGTTTGTCAGACTCAATAATTCACCATGTACAGCATATCAGAATGAAGCAATTTGGACATTTAGAATTGTTCTATTGATATTTTTCCTATGGCAACAACTTTCTTAATTGATCATTTAAAAATGACAGTAAATTGATCATTTTGTTATATGTAAAAAAGGTGTTGAAAGTGGAAAGAAAATCATTTCAGTACAGTTTTCTCTTGTTTACATTTTGGCATTTTGAAGGTGTGACTCTGAACTTCCATGGCCTCGAAGACCTTTCCATGTCACACTTTCTGGATATCCATGATACTTTTACTTTATTATTAAAAATTGATGGTCATTATGCTGTTAAGCATTATGTTATATTGCATGAAAGTTGAAGAAAACCCTATTTTGGACATCGCTGTTTCATAGGACTGAAGTGCAGCTTGGGTTGGAAAATCAGTGTGATTGTTTACTGTTTTGGAAGCAATGCAGCTCTATAGAGTGCTATATGGGGCTACTGTTTATGGATGGTGGTCAGTGCGGTATGTAATTGTCCCTTGGGTAATCACTAGCTAAATTCAGAACTATTAAATCACTTGCCTAATTAATTTTCAAGTGCCCATTAAATAAATTACATAAAACACACGCTGAGAGTTCCCAGTAAAGTCCCATAGGTTAAGCTCTCGTAACTGTGTCACATAATTATGAATCGGTGATAATTATGCAGGTAAATGTTGTTTAATATTGCAAATAAGTTTACAAAAGAAAAAAAAATTGTGTAACGCCAACATTAATGCTATAGATAAATAACAGTGCTTTATTACCCTCCAGCACATCTGGGTTATTCATATCATATTAATACAGCAAGATTAAAAGTTTGAATAGCAGCTTTATTACCCTCCAACACATCTGGGTTATTCATATCATGTTAATACAGCAAGATTAAAAGTTTGAATAGCAGCTTTATTGGAATATTTTTGTTGTGTTTTCTTTTTAATATTTTTCAAACACTGGCATTTTCAACTTCCATCCACCTGAAGCTCCTCACATTTTCTGTACTTCCACATAAGCAGTTGCATTGGTTTTTATGTCTTTAAACATTCTGTAATGTTATTTTATGCACTGTCATCATTTTTCAAATATTGGGATTTTCATTAAGTGAATGTGAACTCTCATGGTCCTGAAACTGTAATCTTATTGAAGGGGCGGATTGAGGCCGTCTTCTGGGTCTTCCAGATGTCGGTCAGTTTTTAAAGTTTACATTGACGGGTATCTATTTTTTTCTGTTGGAAGACCATCAGAAATGGAGGATGGATCAACAAAGATAATTTGGAATACTGTCAGAAAATATCTCTGGATCTGCTGCTGTTATTGACCATGTTACCTGTTGTGCATGATTAAAATTCAGTGTTGATTGACACTCAATTTTTTATATAACACTTTTTAAATGGTTCAGGAATCCATTGATTGCCATGCCACAGAGGCTTGGACACTGGTTTGGTGATATTTGGACAGTTGCTGTTTCCTGCACAAGAATTGTAACCAAATCTTTAGCTGGCATAGTGTTCTGTATGCACTGTTACCATAGCTAATACTATGTATTTTCAAGTAGAATTCTGTTCACCCAAGAAAATGAGCCTTGGGGCATTTACAGGTACAGCTCACAATGCATGGGCCCACACAAGGAACTTCCTTATTGACATAAATGCCAGGGGAAGTATTGTCTGTCAGCCTACACTTGGACTACAATTTTTTCTCATCTACCGTCCTCCAAACAACCCGACCTCGGACTTCTTCAGTGAATTTGCAACCTTATTGGAAAAGGTCGTCCCAAAACCAGGCCATCTCATAATCGCAGGGGATTTCAATATTCATGTTGATAATTCTCATTCCCGTGATGCTTCACTTCTGAATGAAATTATATTTTCTAGAGACCTTCAACAGCACATCATCTTCCCAACTCACCAAAAAGGGCACACTCTTGACTTATTGATAACTCGCGCATCAGATAATCTTCTCTTTTCAACTGACTCAACAAACTATTTGAATTCAGACCATAGTCTCATAGAATTCTGTCTGAATGTGGCTCGTCCTCCTACGGTCAAAACTACGATTTCACGTAGAAACCTGAAAGAAATTGACTCTGATGTTCTTAAAGCAAAGCTTCAGTCTGCCTTTAACTCCTTCCCACCTGATACCAATGCAATTGGAAAAACTACTTCAGAAGATGTGGACACTCTTCTGCACTCATATCACAACACCATAACCACCATACTCGACGAACTTGCTCCAGTCAATACTCGAGTAACTCGCAGTAAGTCAACAGCGCCATGGTTTTGTAGTGAACTGTCTGAGATGCGAAAATCAGTTAGAAAATGTGAGCGTAAATGGCGCAACACTGGTCTGGAAGTCCATCGCCAAATTCACGCCTAGAGTACTGTCGCCGTGCTGATCAACTGAAATCTGACTACCACAAAAAACGCAAAGACAACTCGGATTCCAAAAGTCTTTTTATGATTGGTGAGGAGTTAACCGGCTTTAAAAAATCAGCAACAACCATTAAACCAACACTGTACTCTGACGAGCAACTTTATTCTGTATTCCTGGAGTTTTTTTAACAACAAAATAGAAAAACTTCGAAAATCCTTTGAAAGCGGAATTAACAACTCCACTCTACAAGAAGTTGATCCTTCTACATCTCCGAGTTTTACCATCGCTACTCCCGAACTAATAAAAAAGCTGATAAATGCCGCTAAGCCAAAATCATCAGAATTGGACATCCTTCCAACTAACCTCACAAAGGAATGCATAGAAGAATTACTACCTTCCATTACTAAGCTTTTCAACACATCTCTTCAAAGCGGCGTAGTCCCTGGATGCTTCAAGAAAACTTTAATCAGACCACTCATAAAAAAGGCCACAGGCAAGCCAGACCCTAACGACCTGCAGAACTACCGTCCCATCTGCCATCCGTCTCAAACCTCTCATTTCTTTCAAAAGTACTGGAGCGCCTAGTAGCAACACAGCTAACTGACTATCTGCATACTCATCCACTTTCTACAAAGGTTCAATCGGCATATACATATGGTCTTCCTACCTACCAAATTGAAAAACTTCAATCTGTCCAAAATGCTGCAGCACGACTACTGACCAAAACCCCTCTCAGATCAAATATTTCACCCATTTTATTCGAACTACATTGGCTTCCTGTACGACAGAGAATTGTTTTTAAATTACTGCTTTTTGTTTTTAAATTCACCAGAGGTGAATGCCTCTCATATTTTAACTCGATGCTACATCTAAGTACACCCAGTCTCACCAGGTCTACCAGATCCACCTCCAATCTTTTTTTTTTATCAGAAATGATAATAAAAAAAAAACAACCAAAACCTATGGCCACCGGGCATTTTCAATGGCAGCGCCTATTTTATGGAATCAACTACCCTCATACATTCGGACTATTGATAGTGTTGAGGTTTTTAAAAAAGACTTAAAAACATTCTTATTTTCACAGTATTTTAATTAATATTTTCTCATTTTAGCAGAAAAAAAGTTTTATTGTTCAGACCATTACTATTTTAACCAGCATTAATTATTTTAATTTTTTTTACCTTAGCTTTTATTATCTATATAATTAGTTGTAATCCTGATAATTTTATCTGTAAACAGCACTGAGACGGTAGTGTAGTGCGGTTTTAAGAAATAAATATTATTATTATTATTATTATTATTATTATTACATCCTTCTATCTGTCCATTTGACCTCGCGCATAAAGCAGTCATACTAAGTTGTCTTATTTCTTAAATAACTACACACATTTCTAAAAACGCTACTTTAAAAGTTTTAAAAGTAGCGTTTTTCTTGTAGGCATCCAAAAGTAACAATACACTTTTGAAAAGATTTTGTTACTTCGTACACTTTGTTACCTTGCAGTCTGTTTTTGAAGTGTTGCATTTTTTTATCCACTTTGTAAACAGGCCTATCATCGCCCAAATACTGTATAAATGTTTCAAATCCTCTTTGTTAGAAAGGAGCAATACGTCTAAATGCAGTCTGATGAACTTTTTGCAATAGGAATTTTCGAAAACACGAATGGTGGCGACAGCGCTGGCTGTTTATCTCTTTGTTAAATTTATGTTTATTTATAAATGAAGCCATTTTGGAAATAGAAAAATATAAATTGTAAAATTATTTTTAAAATTAAAATTCTTAATTTCATAGATTCAAATTAATCAATGAAATATAACACATATTGATTCAGAATGTTGTAAAACAAGTTTTTATGATAGCCTGAGACAAGTCGACGTTATATATTTAAAGCCGCTTGGAAACCAGGCAATAAACGTTCTGGATTCGTCCGTGTAGCACTTAATACAAATGATATTTTCCCTTTTGTAACAGTGGGCCTCATCCGTATTGATCTCAACGTGTCAACAGATCTAAATGAACAGAAGAAAGCAATGCCAGAGGTCGACTGGGGGGAGTGGAAGCCTTCTAAATGTAAATCCAGGTAGGTGAATGCTTGTCATTTCTACAGGTCTTAATTAATACGGCTATCTTTTACAGTTGACAAATGCCGGTAACGTGACAGAGAGTCCCCCATGATAGAAAGTCCGCTTCCCCTTCATTTGCACAGGTAAGCCTCGCCCTAGATTTTCACCTACTTAGATCAGGCTAACCCTAACCATTATAACTAAATGGAGGACTTTCTGTTGCACGGACCCTCCCGGATCTGAGTTGCAAAGTTTATACTATGAATATCTACAGATATAACAGAGTTTTTGTGAAAAACAGAAAAAAGTGACATGCGTATCGTGGTTTACATTGGACGCCTGGACCCGTAACTCGAAAGCATCGCGCATTGTGATCGAGGGCAAACGTCTCGATTCCATAACTCGCCCATACACGCCCCATACGGGGGTTACGGAATCGAGACTCGTGTGCTCGGTCGCAATGCGCGATGCTTTCAAGCTACGGGCCCTGGTCATTTTTTTTTTTGACAGACTGGGTGTTGACGCTCTCGACTCCCTGGCACCTGAGGTGGAAACTGTGACCACATGGCCATTCGATCGTAGAGTCTTTGTAGGATATACACTAGAAAGACATACATTACGCTTTGACCCACCATCTACTGAACTGAAACACTTGATACACCAGACTGCAGATAAAGACTATAGTTATAAAACAATGTTTAGTTAACATATGCTGGTATACCTTTTATCATTACTGATAATTTTGTCTAAACATATGTTGATTGATTTGTTTATTATATTTTTATTCAGACATAAAGTGGCAATTATCATCCCATATCGTGATCGTTTGCAACATCTTAAAATGCAGCTCAGATACCTCCACCCGTTATTACAGAGACAGCTGGTGCACTATAGGTTATTTGTGGTAGAACAGGTAATAACCAGAGAGAGAGAGAGAGAGAGAGAGAGAGAGAGAGAGAGAGAGAGAGAGAGAGAAGGGGGAGAGAAAAAATATTATAACCAGAGAGAGAGAGAGAGAGAGAGAACAAAGAGAAGAGAAGGAGCTGTAAAATAAATATCTATCTATCTATCTATCTAACGTAGGCAGGAGTAGGTACCTGGAACAAAGGGCGTGTTATGAACGCCGGATTTCTAGAAGCCGCCAAGCTTTTCGATTTCCAGTGCGTCATCTTCCATGACGTGGATCTAGTGCCGGAGGACGATCGCAACACGTACAAATGCCATCCTCTTCCTTTACACATGTCATCGGCGCCGAGTCAGGATAAATACCGGTAACCTCACCATGTTATCTTATATACCATTGGATATATCTGTGATAAATGTAAATAATGATACCAATATTTATATATATTCAGTATGATGATTTAAATAGTTAAGGTTAATTACAATGCAATCAGTGCATTCCAAAGCTATTTTTTGTTCTTTTAATTTCTACATTTCATGCTATCCCTGTACACGGACCACTAGTGTTATTGGAATAACAGGACTCCATAATTTCAGGCAAAAAATGGCCTGAACTGGACTCATTGTAGAATAGTACTTTAATAGAGAAAATTAAAGATTGCACTTAATCAGAAAATTATTAATTTCAAAAATGACCTTACTCTTGTTAAATATTGAATTGTATTATAGAGTAAGTCCATGTCTATGGCTGTATTCCCAGAGCTTTAAGATCGATCTGTCCCCGCGGGGAGTCTCACTAGATTACTGTCAGATAATCCGGCTTAAATGTCCGTCCCGCCTACTACAAGCTGTAAGGGGGTAATTAACTTTCGTATCCGCTCGGCTGACAGCTATTTAGCCTGAACCCCCAGGGAGTTAGGTCGATCTAAAGTAGATCGATCTTATCTCTGGAAATTGGGTCTATGATGAGGCAGGCAACGTGTAGCTTTTAAGTGCAGAACCAGGCCATGTCAGGAGCTCTAGTGTTAGTTATGTCAGGTTGAAAAGCTTAGAAGTATACAGAGAAAACTCACATTGTCATTTATTATAATAATAATTATTATTATTATCTAGAACAAGGTACACCTTTCTAGTGGGTGGAGTGATGAATTTTCCTCGTGAAGACTTTCTGAAGCTGAACGGTTACTCCAACGAGTTCTGGGGGTGGGGCGGAGAGGACGACGACATGGCACAGAGGTGAGACAGAGAAATTCATAGTCCCACTTTATGTCAACATCATTCTCCTTTTTGAAATCACTCTACAACAACAAAGTGGTTTAATACTTAACCATATTTTATTTTCTCCAAGGTTAAAGGCCTCAGCCAAGGGTTTTGAGCGAGTTCCAACGGACATGGGTCGGTACACGTCCTTAATACACGGTGGCAGGGACAAGAACCCCAGAAGGTAGGCACATATAATACAGGGTACATTTACATCGTTCTTTTAAGACCAAATGAAATCTCGGTCAAAAACCGATTTCAGTTCGTTTTCTAAACTTAAGCCCAACGCACACTGTGACTTACGAGCTTAGCAACTAGCCTTGTGGGGTTACAGCTTATGATGAAGGCACCACTGATTTATACTTGAGTCTGGTAGCTGAGCACTGTAGGCAGGAGTGTGCATCGGGCTTTCTTTTCACGTTTAACTAGTGCATATGGTATATGGCATAGTAATTAATTCAGGGACACTATCATACTAGTAAATAATTCCTATTAATTTTATATTTTCATAAAGCCATCTATTCGTATCTATTTCTTCAAAATGTACCACAGGTATATAATTTTTCAAATGTACTTTCAGAATTGCTCTTTTGCAAGACTCGAAGAAACGGCAGGCAAAAGATGGCGTCTCGTCTTTACCCTACAGACTGCTCTCCTCAACTAATGCAAAGTTATACACACATCTTTTAGTCGTCGTTTAAATTTGAACTCTTTAACAAACATTTTTTAAAATTTTGGGCAAATAGATATACAACGATACAAAAACAACGAAAAATAATATAAGTTGTCATAAGATTTTTTCATATATGCTCCAAGGGACCCGGCCATGTCACGTACAAGTAAGCACAGCGACAACACATCGAAGGCTATGTCACGCAGACGACATTTTGGCGTGTTTGAGACTATAATTTCTACAAAATGTCAATTTCAGGACAAAACGGATTTTTCATTATACATGTAGTACATGTACCATTATGTTTTATATGTATAATATAAATAAACAAAAGCCTTTCATGCTTGCCACGGTTTAAATTTTATAAAAAATCTAAGTTTACACAGTTGCATGTGTTTTAACATTGTTGACTTCCCTTGTCTCTATTTCGAGAATTCGGAAGTATCGGTCAACACACGAAAATCAGAATAAAAAAGGATATCGCTGCTACCTGTCGCTCGACAAAAATTCTTTTAGTATGCTTTATATCTGTCATTAACCTTTCAACGATTTTTTATCGCATTTTGCAACATAACGATTGTATTTTTTAGTAGGGGGGGGGTCCATTATTGTAATTTTTATGGTGCAGAAGCCACCAAAATCACCTTCTAGCCTCCCAACCCTAGAAACATGAAAAATGTGTAAGCGTACCTGTAAATGGCCCTGAGTACTTCTGAAATTTTACTACCCGAGAAACCCATGGTTATTTAAGTTCAATTCAAGAATCTTAAAATGATAATCATTCAACCTAGCTAACGTTAGATGGAATAACAGAGAAAGAATATTATGTTAACCAATGATTATATAAATAAATAAATAAATAAATAAATAAATGAACGAGCCCATATCGGATTACGATGGTACAGATATAGTACAGGGTGCTGAATTTTAAGCGAAATAGAGAAGATAATTGTCGAGGCAAAGCGAATATTACTTTCTAGTTTTTTAAGCACACACATTTATCTTTATATGTCTCTCTCAGCCCTTTCAGTCCCTCCCTCCCTCCCAAAAAGTGAGAGTCATTTAAAAATTACCCACATCCAAATTTTTTGAATGGACACATGTTAATGTGGCAAGAGTTCGAATGCCATTCGTGCATATAGATGTAGAACGGTCATGTTAACATCTCTCAATACCACCTTAACTGTTTTAATATTTTTGTTAATCGTTAATATTTGTACACAGTTGGATATTGTTGCAATTCTGTATATACCCCCTCAAAATATGCTCCTATGAGCAGTGTCTTTGATATCAGTATATCACCAATCTCCAATCATAAATTCCTAATTTATCAGACACTTACATTAACCACATTTAAATGTTCACCCTTATTATGAAACAGCCGTTTACCTCTTAATTGGAGGGTTAAGTCAACTCTCAGATAGCCTTTGTCTTGATTGTATCGAACGCACTCTCGCTGGCGATACAGAAAAGCCGTCATGTCATGAATACAATTTTGATGACCCAGAAATTGACATAAACTCCTTCATAAGCAAGCTAACTGACCTGAACTACCACAAATTCGTAAAGCCAAAGATAAGCAAAAGAATACACTCGGTGCACTTTTCCTAGATTTTTGCAAATTACAAACTTTTTGTTGCTAATGGAAGATTCGACGAGGGAGAATTCACCACAGAAAAGCCAGTGTTATTGACTATATCATAGGCAGTGTACATATTTTAGCCTGAAAGAGAAGTTAGAGGTACTAGACTTTAGTACTCTACTCTGATATACACAAACCATGCAATATCATGCACATTGAAGAAAAATGAGCCACTGATCCCTAACCAATTAAAGATTCTACCACCCCTTCTCAACCAAAAATAAAACCATGGCAGGCTGATAAAGGCACTGAATATACCGAGAATATTGATGAAATTGAGATTTAAAAACTTAATGCCTACCTTAGTAAAAATGAAGTAAGCCTTACACAGGATACTGTTAATGATCTATTTGATAAAGTTGCAACCATCTTACTGGATTTTGCAAAAAAGACACTTGGCTTGAATCCCCCACCAAAACCCAACTATAAACCAAAATCACAAAACAGGAATGGTTTAACCAAGATTACCTAAGAACAAGAAAACTTTTCAGGAAATGCCAGAAGGTCTTAAAAAAAAAAAATATATATATATATATATATATAACTAAGGAACTTAAAGATGAGATGCGTAATGCAGAAAAGAGATACATATCCACAATGAACAGATGTCTTAAAAAACACCAAGTAGATCTGATGAAAAAAATTGAGAAGTTTAAAGAGCACAGACCCGAGAGAATACTGGAGACTGCTAAGTAAGAAGAATGATGTAAAAAGTGCAAAATTTAATATAAACTCCTTTTTTGATTACTTTAAAGAAATAAACTCTTGCAATGAAGTTGATATTAAACCTCATATAAACATGTATAAAACCCCAAACAATATTCTAGATGACCCTATCACCCAAACCGAAATCGAAAAGGCAGTTAAGAATTTGAGTAATAACAAAGCACCTGGGCCAGCTGGAATAACGACTGAATACTTAAATGACTCCCCCAAAACCATGCTCTCAACATAAACCAAATTATTCAACAAAGTACTAGACTCTGGAATCATAACAGAGGCATGGTTAGTTGGTAACATACTACCAATTTATAAGAACAAAGATAGCCAGGCTGACCCAAGTAACTACAGACCCATAACAATACTTAGTTGTCTAGGGAAACTTTTTACATCAATCATATGGGCTAGACTTTACAATTTCCTAGATTCCAAGCAATTGTTAAATGAAAACCAAAGTGGGTTTAGACGCTGCTACTCCACAACTGACAGTATGTTCACTCTCTATGGCCTTATGGAACTGTGCATAATGTCCAAGTCAAAACTTTTCTTCGCTTTCATTGATCTTAAGGGTGCTTTTGACAGCATCTGGAGGGCTGGGCTCTGGCAAAAACTTGTTTCATATGGAATAGATGGTATATGTTACAGACTAATTGTTAATATGTATAATGGGCGCAAATCCCGAATATCTACAAGAAATGGCAGCTCAGATTACTTTGCTGGCAAAAAAAGGGTAAGACAAGGTGAAAACTTATCTCCTGTACTCTTCGCTCTCTTCCTGAACGATCTTGAAAACTTCATGAAAAATCATGACTTAACTGGCTTAAAATCTGTATCAGTAGACATAGAGAAGGAATTAGGTGTTCTGTTAAAAATAATGGTCATGTTATATGCGGATGGCACTGTACTCTTAGCAGAAACGAAAGAGGATCTACAGCTTCAACTAGATGTTTTTAATACTTACTGCAGTACATGGAAACTAGAGTTAACATAGAAAAGACAAAAGTGATGGTATTCACAAGAGGCAGAGTGCCAAAAAACCTAGAATTCACGTACAACTGCAAGAAAATAGAAATTGTTAAGCATTTTAAGTATCTTGGAATATACTTCTTGCAGTCGGGATCATTCCTACAAAACAAAGAATACTTTTAAAAATGCAAAAAGCTACAGCTGCAATGTATGCCCTACTAAAGAAAGGAAGAGCACTGAACATTTCCAAGAGACGAGAAGGCAATTTTCATATTTGTTCAAGAGGCTTAGTTAGCCGATGATCGGGAGCAAGAGATATAGTTACCTACCCCTGCGAGACAAGAAGGCAGTTTTCATATCTTAAGCGGGAGATCGATCTCGATCCGAGCGAAACGAGAAAGCAATTTTCAGAGTCGTTCAATGGACTTCGTTCTCGGATGATCTTCAGCTGAAGATCGTTACCGATCCGAGCGAGACGAGGAGGCAATTCTCATATCTTCAGTGGGAGGTCGTTCGCCATCTGAGCGAACCTAGAAGGCAATTTTCATATTCGTTCAAGAGACTTCATTCGCGGAATATCGGCAGCCGAGGATCGTTCGCGATCCGAGCGAGACGAGAAGGCAATTTTCATATTCATTTAAGAGCGTCAGCGGAAGATAGTTATCGTTTATTTTCAACTCTCCCCCCCCCTTGAAATCTATTATTTTTGAAATATTTTTTCATTTAATTCACCCCCCTCCCCGTTCATGACACTTAGAAAGCTGGCCGAGCTGAAATTTTGAAGGGAGTTACAGATGGCAATTTTGGACGGCCTGTACCGCCAATCCCGGAAAAAAGTTGTTTCTGGGTGAAATAATATACTGGAACTTAAGTATATCGTGGGAATATTTTTAACGTTAAGTGATGAAACATGTATTTGGCACATATAATTTAAACTGCCCTTCATTTGTTGTAAGTCAACATTTAGCTGTACCTGGAAATTTTGGAAATGTGTGCGCACAATTTTAAAAGGTCTGGTTACGCCCATGCGCACGTCTCACTTGCGAATGTGAGTAGAGCAAGTTACGTTTGCCGCCTCGCTGTTCGCAGATTATTCGTAGAATCTTTTGGACATGCCCAACATCCTCCGTACGTGCTTAGGACTTGCGCGGCGCGTGAGATGCTGCGCAAAATTTGGATGCAAACAGGCCGTAAGAGCCCGTACGGCCGGTTCTGACAGAGGCTTAAGGAATTAGATATGTTTAGTACCTACATGTGCGTCAATATTTGATTCAGACTGGATGTTTTCTTTCCTGTCATAACTGTTGTTTTTACAAACATCTCGACCCCCCCCCCCAGCCTGCTGCTCATTTAACAAACAAATTACTGTAAAAGACAAAATAAACAAAAGATGATCTAGAGAAAACATATTATGAAGTGACGACATGTCGGATGTTGGAACACACTGGTATCACGAATGACATTATGAATATCATGTAGTCGGAGTTATTAATGGAATAAAGACTCTATAAATCTAGACGAGTGCCAAACATTGTATCGATTCGCACGAATTGCAGGGCTTTAATAGCAACACCCTTCCCGACCCGAGCATCTTTTTGCAATATACCACACAGCTTTAAGAGTGGACATAATTCACTGTTTTAGAACGTTTATATATATTATCCAACAATGATCACGACATTTCTGCATAAAAATGGTATTTAAAACACCACTTACAATTTTAAAGCTGTAATTAAGATTGTTGAAGGATACTGTACAATGTATGTTTGACTTTAATGAATTTAAACAATGACGTCATTGTTGAGGATGTTACGGACTTTACGCCTGCTTATGAGTTTTAAAGTTTTATTTTCAACCTGACGACTGAAATACCACTTGTATATATCTCCGTCACGAGATTGACTCAAAATTGAGGGAAATATACATATAAACTAAAAAAATGG